AGGTGAGGATGGCTGACGAGAGGAGGAACATAACCGTACAAAATCTTGCCTACCTTTCCTCCTCTTCCTCAATGCTAAAATTGGACTTACTTCTCAAAAGGACAATTTCAGGAGTTTCTGTCTTAATGATGGAAACCCTTCATCATTTTTTTTGGGGGGGGGGGTTGCATTTTTGCAACGCAAAAGGTAGAGTGCAAGATCCAGCAGCAACGGCCCTCTGAAGCCAAGACAGAGTCATATTTTCTCCTAACAATGGAGTACAGGAATTGCACAAAAATTGACACCTTGTAAACACTATACATTAGCCCGGCACATACAAAGGCACAGTATCCATCAAGTCCTGGCTAGTGTTACGCGTGTGTTAATCATGTATCGGGCCCCCAGCCAGATTGCCTTTGTTCATAAAAAGGGAGAAAAGAAAGGAAAGGAGATAGTAAGATTGGAAGAATGAGAGAGGCAGCGGTGGGAAATGTGCCTGTTTTTAATGGGACAAAGCCGTTGGGGCACCGGGATCACAAGTTTGTTGCTCAGAGTAGGGAAACCCAGCAGTTTGCCCCTTGTTTGTGCAAGGAAACACTCTGGGAAACACTGGCCAGATTGAAAAAGGAAAACTGTTTGGGGAGGGGGGAGGAATCAGAGTACCTTTAATGACCTCCGAATAATGCTGACCTAGAAGATTCATCTTTGTTGCACAAAATCCCACCCCCCCTTTGCCTAAACACCATTATTGATCACGCCGAGCCATAAGACAAAGGTTAAAAACAGCGAAACGGCTGTGGTAAAGCTGGTGCCAATGAAATCCAGGACCAGCAGCAAGCCAGTTCCCAGCCTAGACCACCCCGGCTCCTTCCCAACGAGCAAAAAAAGAAATTCAAGTTTCCCCCTCCGTCTGGGAGCAGCTTTCTTTTTTTGAACCTTACTTTCTGATACCAGGAGCAGCACGCCCCAGGCAGAAACCAGGGGGAATTTCTGAAGCACGATGCACCAACCCAGGGCAAATCAAGAGGGGTAAAAACTTCCTTTTTAGACGGGTGGCTCTAGGGGACAGCTCTCTGCCCCAAGTGGGACAAGGGGACTGATCCCTTAGACAAGAAACGGAAAGGAGGGTTTAAAACACAGCCACCAAAAGGTCAAGCAACGAGCAGCGGCTGCTGGAGATCTGAGCCGGGATGGGGGGAAGCCATCAGGTATATATAGCGGATCTTGGTGGCTTTTGGGGTCCAGGCTACTTCCAGCTTGCCCGGTGCTGGGGCTTAGCCGGTAGAGCTGGGCATAAAGGAGTTAACGGAGCAGGGCTGAAGAAGTAGGGAAGGGGGAGTGGAGACTAGGGAGGGAGCATGGGATGGGGGGAGCAGAGACTGGATCAGTGGGACAGGGAGCAGAGACACCAGGATGGAGGGAGCAGAGAAATGGGGGAACGGCCGGCGGGGACAACAGAGCATGGGGAAGGGAGAAAAAGGGGATGACAGGGGAGAGAAGCGCCCCGCCACCTAGGGCTGCCCTGGCCGAAGCCCCAGCCAGGGTGCTGGACTCACCATGTGGGCTGGAGCTGCCCACCGGAGCCCCCTGCCCACCGCAGTGCCGTGGCCCCGGCAGCTAGGGCTCCGCACAGCGCCTGGTCCCACTGATCCAAGCCAGGTTCGGAGGCACTGGGAAGAGGGAGAGGCCAAGGGGAAACGTCCTCTGGGGTCTGGGCAGAGACGGGACTAATGGGAGGAGGAGCCGAGGGAGCCAGGGAGGAGCTGGAGGAGGGGCTGGGGCAGGGAGCCTGCAGCACGGGCGAGCAGGGGCACGCAGGGCTGGGGAGCCCCCCAAAGCAGATCCTCCACGGGGCGAGCTGTGATCACCCCCCGTGCTTAGCAGCCTGGCATGCATTTAGCTGCCAGGGCTCTTGTGCATTTAGTTATCCGGAGACAGAGGTGGTTTTACTGGGAGGGGGTGCTGGGGGGGACTGTCCTGGCCCCATCCATACCACGGGCACCCGGAGACTACTCATACACCGCCTTTCCCAAAACCTCGCTCACCATCAGGTGAGCCCAGGACCTGGCAGCGAGACAGGGAGACACAGACTCTCTTTGTTCCCGCTTCCAAGGGCAAAGGGTTTATTTAACTAGCTAGCTTGATAGTCATCCAGCTTCCTTTTGATGCCTGTAAGAAAATACACTTGCCTACCTAGCTCAGGAGCATCCACCATTTGCATCTCAGAGCCAATGGCCAGTTTTAACTGAGCATCACAGGGCCTCTCCGGGGGGCTGTCAAATAGCAGCATCCTATACAGAAAGGGAAACTGAGGCACAAAGAGTAAGCAACCTCCTGGGAGTACAGAAGAGCCGACGCTAAAGCCCAGGTCTCCCATCACCGAGGCCTTGTATCCCTTGTATCTATTAGGAACAAAACTGCTGCCACTAAAAAAAAAATCCTAGCCGGCACAAAGCAGAGTGTAGTGCACCCTTGTGAGCTGGGGTCCGCTAGACCCTGGTGACTTAATGCAGTCTCGCATGGACTTGCTGCGAGCTAGGTGAAGCCCCTGCATGGTGGTTCAAGCTGCCAGCATCTCTTCTCCCTCGGCACTTCTACTGCTGGGGCTGAACTGGCAAGCGGGGTATCTTAGGGAGCAAGGCTAATGCAGGCAGCCCAGGACCCTCCGGCGACTTGGAAGGGGTGAAGGAGGAGATGCAACTGCAGGGCTCCCTTGCCCCAAAGCCCCACAGTCAAAGACAGATGCCGGCCTCAAACTCACGACGCCCTTGCTGCTTCAGAGGCAAAGTTCACCTAACTCCAAAAAAGTCCCACGGAGGGCTTTTTTTTAAAACCCATTTACTATGGATGTAGCACTATAGGTGCTCTTTACCAACACCGCCTTTTAGATACGATAATCCCTAGCTTGAGGGATTGTCCTGGAATAAAGATGACATTACTCAGCAAGAGAGGACCAAAAAACAAAAAGGTGAGGGCAAGAAGGGGCACGGGACCAAAGCCAATTTCCGCAGGGCACAGATCTCCACTGGCATGTCATTACCTCCAGGTTTCAGAGCCCAGCCGAAACCCCACGCAGGCTCCACGCTCGATCTGAGAGCAGGAACAAAACGCCCCGTGTTCGCTGCCTTCCAAAATTGCATGCAAAAGCTGGACTGCAAACAAGAGCAGCAAGTCACCCGCCAAGCACCCTAGCACCCATCCCGGCTTTCCTTCCTCCCTCTCTCCGACTGTATTTATTTTTTCCCCCTTTTGAAGGATCGGAGGTGAAGGGTGGTGGTCCTCTGGGGTTTCTGCGAGCCAAAGACAGCGGCAGCCCCTGTGCTCAGAGGTCGTCTTGGCAGGCCCCGAGCGTGCACACACAGGGCAGGCGTGCACAGGACTGGAGCATGTGCTGGAGAGCTGTGTATTTAGGGAAGGAGGAGGGAGGCCCTGTACATTTTTAGAGGAAAGGAAAAAAAAACCCAGCAGTGGGCCAGGCAGGCGGGTGGGGGCAGGGCAGCAAGGAGAGGATGCTTAGTGGACGCGAGCGGGGATCCAGATTGAAAACAGATGGGATTTTTCATGCCAGCCTGACATCGGACACCCTGGGAGGCGGGGTAAAATGTTCCCTCGCAGAGCTCTAGCAGCCAATCGGTGTGTCCGGGGGGGGGGAAATACTTTGGTTTAAACTCTCCCCACTGCCTGGCCTGCTCTTGGGGAAGCGGGCCCGCTGGCAGCGAATGCAAATGTGGTTCAGTTGTGTTGTTTTTAAGACTTCAAGAGGTTTGATGCGACCGTTAAGCGTCCAATTCATCTGCTCCCACTTGTTGGAGCCGAGCCTGGGCAGCCCGTTACTGCCTGACCGGGGAGGGGAGGGTCCGTGGGCACTCTGCACCCACGCAGATCCCTGCACACTCATGCACACAGCCAGGGGGGAGAGCGGTGGTTATTGCAAACCGCGTGCACACGCTGAGTAAGCGAGTGCTAAATTTAAATGGGTGGGGAAGCAGGATCGTGCTAGAGGACCGCCTGGCGTGTTGTATGCCATGCTGAGGGGAAGGTCAGCAGAAAAGGGGGCTGCAACTTTTGGACTAGGAGACCGGGGGGGGGGAATAAAGGGAGAGCCAGAGGTGTTGATGACGCCCAGATGTCTCTCCCAGCTCAGACGGCTGAGATGGAAGGCAAGAGCAGACTTGTGCAAAAGTGCAAGGAGCACAAGTGGCCAAAGGGGAGAGCAGCCCTTGGAAACCCTTAAGCAAACCACGTGTCACCGCCGAGTCCTGGAACGTGTGATCGCTACGGAGGGAAAGTAGGTTAACTATAAGCAGCCATGCAGAAGTGCTTAACCGAGCAACCTGATCGCACCAGAGGGAGACGCGGGGGCCGGTGTGCCAAGGGGCAACGCAAACAAGCGTCGTCCCCCCCGTGCAAGGCTCCCTGCACACGGTCCCCTCCACGCACGCATCTAGCGATGGGCACTTTGAACGAGCGCTCCTCCCAGCCCCGAAACCAAGTCCTCTTGCCATCTCCGAGAACGACGGGTCACTCCTTTTCCCCCAGCCCATGGGGACAGAGTGGGCATCTGCCTCCCTCGCGCTTTTCCCAGCTCCTTTAAAAACCAGAAACACAAAGCTAATGGTGCAGGCCTGACTGCATACTTTCCAGAGCTCTGGGAGACCAGCTCCCACAAGCCTTGCAACACACACTCTTTTCATTCAGGGCTTTAAATACTCAATTGTGTCTGTTTTCAGCACACTCATTTTTAGCATTTTAATGATATGGTCCCCGGCTCTTGCCCCCCTTGGATTGGCCGCGGCACGTTTCGCTCCGCGCAGAATTCGACTGGCAGGAGCAGGGGGGTTAGCAGGAGGTCAAACATTTATTCGAAACCAAGTGTTTTTCCAGCAGGCAGGGAGGGGGTCCCGCCGGGGACCGAGACAAAGCAGGCGATGAGCACCATACCTTCCCCTCCAGGTCTTCCAGAGGCTGGAGCCAAGTTTGGCAGGCCGTCTTTGGAGAGTTTAAACAGGGTGCAGGAGTGGGGCCACGTTGCCACCTCCATTAAAAAGCTGGAGGGGTGGTGGTAGCTCTCCCTCCTCTACAGGACAGTGAAGCAAACTGGCCTCCAGAAAGGGAGATTTCTACGGCCGCTGCTTTCTCCCCAGGTCATCTGCAAAGGGAGCTTTCCCCGGGCACGGTCAACAGGATTTCCCTCTGCTGCATTGCTCCGGGGGGAGCCGGGCACAAGACGCCATCTGCAAGTGGTAGCTAGCAATGAGCTAGGATTAACGCGGAGAAGAGACAGGTTAAGTCAATGCCCTTGTTGTCCCCATACAAGCACGGAGCCTGCTGCCTTCTCCGACTCAGTCCTGGCGATGGTAAACCCATCGACCTGCCACGGACACCCACCATGGGGCACTTGCCTACCTAGCTCAGGAAGGATCGACGAGCCAGACACGGCTGTGCCTGGAGTATCAGACCTTCCCCTTCACCCCCCTGCCCCTAAAGCACTGAGCCTGTTGGGGCAGCTCTGGCTTTGCCCCTGGAAAGCGTTCAAAAGGCATTTTGGGCATGTCAGAGCACGGCTTTGAAAGTCTCCACCAGGAACTACAGGGCGCCGCAAAAGAAAAAGGCGCGTGCACACACACGTACATGCACAGCATCCTCCGCTCTGCCACCAAAAACCCCTCTATAATCCTGCCCCACCCTTGGCAAACTCCAAACTCCTACCCAGTCTTCCTAGACCCTACCAGCATTGGCCCAGGAGGTATGAACATAGCTTTGCGCAACGGAGGGGACCGAAGCAGCCCTCGACAGCTACCGTGATTCGGGCAGCACAGATTCCCACTAGCGGAGGGCCTGGTCCAAGTCTCCTTTCTGCGCGTTGCAATAACTTGTCCTTTACCAGGTGAAACGTCCTTGGAAGGGCCCCGATCCTGCAAGCCGTTGCAGACCGGCAAACCATCCCCTGCACGCAAGGTGCTCGGCAAAAGTGCCTGGTGCAGCACGTGGGGAGTGGGGCATCGCGGCCCGCAGCAGGTTGTGGGATCAGGATGTACATTCTTGCTTAGTAACCCGCACCCTCAAGCCCCCCGTGTCTCCTGCCCTGTCAGACCCTCTGCCTCTGCCTTTCCCCCCCACGTTGCCCTTCCTCGCTGCTACTCAGCCCCGGCTCTCAGCCCACACCCATGGCTTCTGCATTAGCTGGCAGCTCAGCCCTAGT